ACACTTAATCCACCCTGAAGATGAAAAACTATAATTTTCATATTTTAAGATAAAGATTAACTCAAAAACAAACTAAGAACATAATAAAATATCATGAAAGACGTGAGATACAAATGAGTACTGGCAATTGTTTGTTTGTTTGTTTGTTTGTTTGTTTGTTTACATTCCTTCTGGTTCTAGATTAGCTGGACTACACGGCATGATCTGATGTCAGTTACTGTTCATTTGTTTGGTTTATTGGCTGGGTCGCGTCAGGCAGATTAGATCAATTTCAAGTGAATGTAACGACTGTAACTTTTTTTGTTGTTCTTTCACATGGAGTTAAAACTCAACAAGAGGAAGCTAACGTTAGCTAAAGTTAGCTTATCATTCTCTGTCTTCCTACTCTCTTGTCTTTAGCATCATACTGCTGGATGGTTCAGTACCGCTTTCGGTACTTTTCCTTCCAGTTTGGTGTAGTCCATTATTAGTGTTGTGTCGCAAATAAAACTAAACAAGACTCGCTCGTTTGCGGTCCCGCCCACATCGAGACGGCTTTCTGCTCAGTTTAATAGGGCCGGTGTAGAGTAGCAGCGCCCTCTGCTGGATGAAGTCAAAACTACACTGAAATAAGGTTTAAACTGTTGTTTTCAATTAATCCATTGGAAGAAATTTTAATCTAATAAATCATTATTCGACAATTAATCGTAAGTCGATTAATTGTTAGCATCCCTAATACATACTATTTGAGGTTTCCCTTTCATATTAACATAAAAAAATTACTCAATAAATTTACACAAAATTAGGATTCAGACCAAACAGTAATGTATTATCATAACCAACAAGACAAATTAAGTCCTATTTCTGGATAAGCTTATGATTTCAGAATGATCCAGGTATTAAAATGTAGCTTTTAAAGCCAAGAATCTGAAAATGTAGTTAGGTCATTTTGACCAAATTTGACTTAATCATCATTTCGATGTGATGGGTCACATTTAAAGCTTTAAAAGGGATAAGAAATGAAAAATTATTAGGTAAAGTTTCTAAATGTTCCTATGGAGCCGGAGTGTGCAACATTATTACAAGTTTTTTTATTTTATTTTGTCACTTTAAAGCAAACATTTCCCACGCTTTATTGTGTAGCTTTAATGTTGAACCATAACTACACTGGATCCCAGATGCTGATTCATTTTTGTTCCTTCGGTTCAGCGATATACTCCGAATGGACTCCACCAACGCAGATGCTCTGTACGTGCGCGGCCTCTGCCTGTACTACGAGGACTGCATCGAAAAGGCGGTTCAGTTCTTCGTCCAGGCCCTGCGCATGGCCCCCGACCACGACAAGGCCCGGCTCGCATGCAGGGTGAGTACATTTACTACGTCCAGTTTTTTTTTATTAAGCACCAATATATAAACAGATACATGTCAAAAGASCATCCTTTGAATATTACTCATATTTTTACATTCTGTATGTCAAACATTCAACCTGATTCCCTCAACCCACGAACCATCAACATCAGGGACACTCATCTAAAGAAGCAAAGAAGTCTTTAAACTGTGCGTTGCTGAAAAGGTCCCACATTGTTGAAATTATTTTGTACGGACAACCATCGTTAAGCCAAAGAAGGAAGAAAACCAAACAACAGAAACAAAAACAAATTTACAAAAATAAATAATATAATGAAATAAAATAAAATAGAATAAATGAGATTAAGAAGGTATGGTTTTCAGTTTGTTTAGGTATATCAGCACTGAATTCCAGATAGAGAAGAATTTACTACATCCGATTTTTATCAGTCATTAAGAGTTTGTTGGAATTCGTTGAAAGAAATAAATTTCTCGTTCTGCTTGTGTTTTTTGCTGTGGTGCCTCTGAGTTGTTTCTGTTTGTTTCATCTCTTAAGAACGCTAAAGCACTAAAAGCTAAGAAGGAGGAAGGGAACAAGGCGTTCAAGGAGGGGAATTTTGAGGCAGCCTATGTGCTGTACTCTGAGGCACTAACAATAGACCCCAACAACATCAAGACTAATGCCAAGCTGTACTGTAATAGAGCCACTGTTGGATCGAAGGTAAGAAAAAGCTGTAATAACATCTGATTTATTTGGTTAAATGGGAAATTAGTCACTTTTAATCTTTTTCCACGTTTCATTTCTTCTTTCACATCTTTGAACTATAAATTCAACACCACCTTTTTATTTTTTTTCCCCTTTAAAAGCTGAAGAAACTAGAACAGGCCATTGAAGACTGCTCAAAGGCAATTAAACTGGATGAGACCTACATCAAGGCCTATTTAAGGAGAGCACAATGGTAAGTCGAGGGTTTCTCTCCCGGCTGTTATTTCAGACACTTCATTTGGTTTTCTAACACTGCAAAGCTTTTTAAACGGTCGTCACTTTTAAACTCTTACATTTAATCAAGGCTGGTGAATAAATAYGACTTTCTTTTCCAGCTACATGGACACAGAGCAGTACGAAGAGGCAGTGAGGGAYTATGAAAAGGTCTACCAAACAGAAAAGACAAAAGGTGAGAACCTGAAGGCTCTGCTCACTTTAGAGAGATCAGAGAAAATATATTTACAGGGTTCTTGTGGGGTCTTAAAGTGCCTGTCACATGCACGTCCATGAAATACAAAGTCAAAGAAAACGTCTTTATATTTAAGAAACTTTGCATAATACTCATGATTTTACCCATTATGTCACATAATTGGCATATTTTCTTCTTAATTTGGCTCAGCTCAAGTAAAACAGGAAGTGACATCAAAGGGGAACTTTTTGAGAAAGAAAACTTCCTGGTTTTTGTTCACTAAAACATTATTTGAACTCTGACTTTTTCTCATTTCTCTATAATAGGGATTAAAATAGTCTAAAGAAAGATCAGATTCTTCTCTACAGTCTGTGTTGTCGGCCTTTGTAACAACACTCTGTTCGTGTTCAGACATTCCCCTTTGACATCACTTCCTGTTACTTCACATGCAAATTTCTCAACAACTGTTCATCTCAGTGGCGTGAAATCTTTTTTTACAAAATGTTATCAATGTAATTTATTTCAAAAATGCATTCATATTTATTACAAAAAGTTGATGTCACAGGCACTTTAAAGTATAAAAAGGTCTAAAATTTCAAAATCAAAATTTTAGGCCTAAAAAAGTCTTTATGTCCATATTTTCATCCAAGGTCTTAGATTTGATTTTGTCAAGTCTTTCTTTTTACTTTTGATCATTCCTGAGAAGCATTGGCTGCATAAACAAACAGAGTAAAGCGCTGTWATCAGAGGTTGATGTGATCTGTCTTCACGAGGTGTCAAGTTTGCTATCGGTTTTGGTCCGTGGTTAAATTACACATCCTGTGATAACTGCAGGCAAAAAATGGCAGAGTTTACTTCCATGTTTTTGACATTTTTATCGCTGCAACTCCCCACATACGGTGGCTTGTTCACCCGCCCAAAAAAACAAAGAAGTTCAGTCGTGTCCACTGCTTGTCGTTTAAACACAGAAAAGTGTGTTTTCAACGAGACTCKGTTGGATATCAGTGATTTTCACACTTGGAAGCGATTCCCTGCAGTCGTTATGAAAGGTTCTGCAAGATGACCATCGAGTTACCACTAATTTACACTGGGTGTGGTTCTGCTCCACTCCGACCTCTGCAGTAAAAACACCTGATTATAATGGTATAATCAATGAGTATTTACACTGGCGGCACAAGGCCGATTCTATCGTGTTTWTACCGGATGCCAGAGTCGATCTACAAAAATCACATTGCACCAACAGGAAAAGGAACAAGCACATCATCTGTATTTTTTAAATAATTCACCAAAAATCCCAGCTAAATGTAGATATATTTCTACACAAATGCAGTCAGAATGCATCGTTCTGTTTGGGAAGCAGATGGCTACATGTAGCGTGCAGCATAGGAACACACACAACACACGTGGATTTTATTTTGAAATCAGAAGTTTCAAGAAGCCAACAACAGCTGTGTTTGGAGTTCATCTTCCACACAATGAATGATTTTGCTCTGACTTCCACATTTATCACTGGATTTATCGCGCGATCTCGCATTTCCTGTCTACTATTTTAATACTGAAATAATTTAGTGTTTTTGTATTAAAATTAAATATTATTTAGTAGCTAAACTGATAGCAAGAAAAGGTTTGTATGTTAAAATTTCTGGGACCATTTGAATGTTTCTGTTGGTTTGGTCTTAAATGTCATTCCTAATGGKCTTAAAAGGTCTTAATTAAACCTGCAAGAACTCTGTATTTAATACAAATGAAAAGCACTGATATTAGTTTAAATTCTGCTTATTCAATTGCACAGACCAACATTAATGTTAGCAGCTGTTTTCAGTTCACCAAGTTTTTTATCTTGACTCTCTTGAGGCAGCAAAACGGAATATTTCTTGTGAAACTGACTACCACAACTAAAAAGCGTTAGCAAACATAAAACAGTAGTATCTCAACTAATCATACAAATAATAGTCTATAATTTGTTGTAGTAGCAGCTGAGCATCATATCTTGCGCCACATGTTGTGCAGTGTTTTTGTTTGACCACATGACATTAATTGTTTGAGTTGACGTTGTCTCAGTTAGCAAAATATTTACTGAACTTTAGAACAGACTGGGTTCATAGGATGTGAACCTTTTGAATTTTAATATTTCTGTAGAACACAAGCACCTCCTGAAAACGGCTCAGCTGGAGTTGAAGAAAAGCAARAGGAAAGATTACTACAAAGTGCTCGGCGTGGAGAAGAACGCCACGGAAGACGAGATCAAGAAAGCGTACCGCAAACGTGCTCTCTTACATCACCCAGGTGTTTGATTCAGCTTCAAATAAAAGAACCGTAAAAAAGAAACCACAGAATTAACAAGTATAACTTTGATATTTGTGTGTTTTTTTTTAATTTTTTTTATTCAGATCGTCACAGCGGAGCTAGCCCAGAGGTGCAGAAGGAAGAGGAGAAGAAGTTTAAGGAAGTGGGYGAGGCTTTCAGCGTGCTTTCAGACCCAAAGAAAAAAGCTCGTTACGACAGCGGGCAGGATCTGGAGGACGACGGCATGAACATGGGAGGTGAGCGGCTGGGCAAACATCAGGGTGGGGCGGGGGTCTTGTGGGTGAACAGATTTAAACTTTTATGGCGATGTGGTGAGACGGTCCACGCTAACTGAAACTTTGTTGTTGTTGATGTGTTTTTTTTTACCAGATTTTGATGCCAATAACATTTTCAAGGCGTTCTTCGGAGGACCAGGAGGGTTTAGCTTTGAAGGTAATTCATGTTTTGTCTGAATTTTCCAGCRGTGGGCACAGCTCTGCTAATCCGCTAATAGCAAAACTAGCATTTTTATTTAGCGGGTTAGCATTTTTCATAACTTTGGAAACTGTTAGCGGACTGATTAGCCTCTGCTAAATTGGGTTCTGCTAATTTTAAGTCCGCTAAAATTTGTGTTAAACTTCTGTTTTATGTTTTTTTTATCACAAATTAAATAAAAACTATCCACTCTTACAAGCAGCTGGACGTGTCACAGTAGCATGTAGCATCTTTAGCCGCTAAACTTCAAACTAAGAGCATAAAAAAGAAATAAAATTACATATTTAAATAACTAATACAAAATATGACTACATATAAATTATATGGTAGAAAAAGTATTTGCCGTTTAACTTCAAATGGTAGCAAAAAAAATGCTTTTATTCTGAAAGGGTTAAACTGGAATTACAGGAAGTTACTTTTTATGTGCCGTGTTTTTCACATACAATAGCCTCATTTAAATAGATATTTTAGTTATTTTAAGAAAAGGTTCAACAGGAGGGTATCAAGGAAAAATCAAAGTCTGTTCACTTTAAGTACAAAAAAAATGCAACATTTCCAAACTCAATAATTTTCAACAGTTGTAATGGAACAGCCCTACTTTCAGCTCTTATGAATACTAAACAGTAATACGAGCTACCTTTGCTAATAATTTGCTTTTTGTTGTGTTTCAGCTTCTGGACCAGGAAATTTCTTCTTCCAGTTCGGCTAATTGGAGGACTCGTCTACATAAATCATTACATCATCAGGACTTTGCTACAGTGTCGACCCCCCTCAACCCRCCATTTGTATTTATTGACTGACTGACTGCAAGTCAGGATCCTGTCTATGCCATTGACTGAATGAATGCAACCCAATGACCAGACGCAGCGAATTATTTAACGGCCATCAAAGCAAGGATATCAAGATCCATTGATTTTAGCTTTACTGGTTTTTGACTTTGTTTTCTTCCGTCTGCGATGAAACTGACTTGAAAATCAGTAACGGCTGGCAGCACCGGTCCAAATATTCTCTGGATTTCTGATAAAGGAGAAAACGTGCAGCTTTTTTTTTTTTTCATCAGAGCTTCTTGGGATYCGTGCAGGAAGTGTCATCCTCGGGGGAAACTCTCGAGACGAATGAGCTTTTAACCCGGCTCGTGTCCGCCTCCCGCCGGGGGAGTTTTCTCTGTGTGAAAGTTGGAAACAGGCCRCACCTCCCCTTTATAAAGATTCTGTCAGATTGACAGAGAGCTGCTACAAATTCGCACTGAAAGCTGCCTCCTCGTCGTAGCCTACGGGAGSGCTTTGGTTTTTTTTTAAACAGAAAAGAGTTGGAGCCTTAGACCTACACACCCAGCACGGTCAAAGCACACTAGAAAGACGACAGTGCTGGCTTTGTCGTCCCCTGATCGTCCTCACCAGTTTTACGTTTGTTGTTGCCATTCACAGCTTGCTGCATTGTACATTTTACTGGAATGTAAAGTGTTGATTTGTGACGTCAGACTTTATTTTTCTTTTTTTTTTAATTGCATATGTATATTTATTGTAAGTTTGCTGTCTTATACACATTTTGACAAAGGATAAAAAACAACTCAATGAGCCTTTCTGACAAAAACAAACAAAAAGGTAACTGAGGTTTGCATGGAACGTGCTAAAGGTGGGCTTTGCTGCTTGTGTTACCGAACTGTAATTCAAGCCGTCTAGGTTTGCTGAGCACAAGAGAGGGGCATGAGAGTAGAGGTAATATTATAAATGCGGTCGGTGTTGGCTGTTGTCTTTGACAGCCAGGCTCTGTGGACTTTGAAACCTGGCAAATTTCAGTTACTTCCTGGTTGAGAGCTGTCCTCATCTTTRCCCTCAGTTCTGTCCCTCTGGAAACCGTCTCATTGAAAAGTACCAGCTGTGTCAATAAAGTTGGCCTTCTCTGGGTTTCCCTAACAGTCTTTACTCTGTCTTGTTTTATTATTACAGCACTGGATTATTATCAATATTAAAACACTCAAAAGTAATCTTGAGTGGAATCGACCTGATTTAAGATGGCTTCTACTTCCTGACTTTAACAATTGCAAAAATGGCTATAAATCAATCAGTTTTAAACATTAGAAGTTGGTCACATATCTGAATAATTTACAATAAATACTCCAATTCWGCCTATTTCACAAGRTCTTTGCTTAAAACTTTAACTGCTGGACTCAATTTKGTTTGTCCGYTAGCAAAATATCACATGAACCATYCATCTTTTACCKGTTCTGCCTTTCAGGATCATGGGGATCACTGGTGCCAATGTCCAGCAGTCAYAGCAAGGGGCAGGGGTGGGACACCCTRTATAAGTCYATCRCAGGGCTACATAGAGACAACCAGTCACTCACACACAGGGGCAATTTAGATTTACTAATTAGCCTAACATGTATGTTTTTGGTCYGTRGGAGGAAACCAGGGTACCTGGAGAAAACCCAYGCATGCACAGAGAGAACATGCAAACTACTCAGAGGGCCCAGCCGATTTGATCCTTGCCAAGAGGCAGCCGCTCTACCAACAGAGCCACGTCGCCCATCACATGAACCACTAGATGGAATCTTTCAGAAAGGAGGTGATCTTTATCAAGTTATTTTTGGAGTTAACCTAACTCAAGACGGCCACAACAGATTCCAACTCGAAATAAATCAGACTCAGATTGKGATGTATGAAAACAAGACATCTCGCGATAAAACACGAGATCCTGTCCAATTCCAGCAGAGGGCGACATTTCCTCACACTGCCGTATTCTGGTTTGTTGGTAGGGTTGCTAGGACACCAGAAAACGGAAGCTGGATGTACTTGGAGTAATAGCTCGTTTTGAAACACGGGTTTTAAAGAAAATGTCCGACTTAAATGAAGGCGACAAAGTTCAGAACTCCAAAACTGCGTTCTCCGCTTTGTTCTCCGAGGGGGAATGGATGTTCGTTAAAGGGGAAAACGAAAACGCAGTAAAAAGCTTCACAGCGGTAAGTGAGTGGACTCTGATTAATTAGCATAATCAGCAGGTTTTGTTTTGTTTTTAAGTGTTTAGTTTTTTTAAGGTTTAAATTACTTACATCTTTGTTTTAGGCGCTTGCTTTAAGACCCGGCGACAAAAACTGCCTTGTTAGTCGAGCYAAATGTTACATGAAGTTGGAGCAGCCTGAAAAGGCCTTACAGGATGCTGAAAGTACCCTTAAAGGTGACGAGACTTTCTGTGAGGTAATTTTCTTACACCCCCTTCTGACTGCTGACTGTTCAAATAGCATATATAT